CTCTGGACTCTAATTTCCTCATCATTTATTTAAAAAAAAAAAAAAAGTTATAAAAAGAATTTAATTCTCAGGACTGTGATAGAATTAAGTGAGATAGGGGCGCCTGGGTGGCTCAGTTGGTTAAGCGACTGCCTTCGGCTCAGGTCATGATCCTGGAGTCCCTGGATCGAGTCCCGCATCGGGCTCCCTGCTCGGCAGGGAGTCTGCTTCTCCCTCTGACCCTCCCCCCTCTCATGTGCTCTCTCTCATTCTCTCTCTCTCAAAAAAATAAATAAAATCTTCAAAAAAAATAAAAAAAATAAATTAAAAAAATAAAAAAATAAAAAAATAAAGAATTAAGTGAGATAATGTGTAAATAGCACAGCAAGACTCCTGGTATGTAATAAGTGCTCGATACATGCTGGCTATCTTTATTATCTGATATAAATGTCTCCAGAGCAATCCCAGCCCTCAGTCTTAGAAGGCACAATCTCTCAGAGAGCCCTTCAGCCAGCTCCTAGGACCAAACTCCTCCACAGCCCAGGCCTGTGGGCCATCTCACACAGTACCCACCATGGAGGGAGGACCCAATACCCCGTGCTGGCAGTGAGAAAATCCAGGAGCTTCCTGGCATTAGCAGCATAGTTCTCCAACCCCTCACACTCAGGTTGATGCAGGAAGGCCCAAGATTTCCTCTTCTGTTCCATTCTCCCGGAATATACCTTCCATCGATCCTCTGTCGTTCTTCCTGAGTACAGATTCCACAGGCTCACTCCATTACTGAGCTGTCATTTATTAAACAAACATTTATTGAACAACTACTACATACCAAACATTGTCCAAGATTATAATGGTGCCCACAATCTAGTGAAAGGTACAGATAAGTAGAGGCAGACACAATACAATTTCATGTATAAATAAGTACATGTGCTCCAGAAACACAGGAAGGCACCTAGAAATTGACATTAAGAAGGATCATGAGGAAATGGCCAGCTAGAGCATCCAGCTGGGGTTGGCGGGGGGGGGGGGAGTACTGAAAGATGAGGTTCGAGAAGCAAGAGCCTTGAGGCCTCATTAAACAGCATGACTTTGCCTTGAGGGCAAGAGGAAGCCTTGAAAGTGTTTCGTAGGCATGTGACTTAATTTGCTATAGTTAGGAGAATGTCATGGGGGTAAAACTGGAGTCAGAGAGACGACTTAGAAGACTTCTGTAATCCAAGAAGAATATGGTGACCTGAGGGGTGCCCGGGTGGCTCAGTTGGTTGAGCACCCAACTCTTGATTTCGGCTCAGGTTGTGATCTCAGGGTCATGGGATAGAGCCCCGTGTCAGGCCCGGGCTCAGCAGAGAGTCTGTTTGAGATTCTCTCCTTCTCCCTCTGCCCCTCCCTCCGCTTGCACTCTGGCTTCCTCTCTCAAATAAATAAATCTTAAAAAAAAAAAAAAAAAAGCACCTGGTGACTTGAACTAGGGCAGCTGTAGCAGGGATGGTAAGAAGGCAAAGACTTTGAGAAACCTCTGGCAGGAAGAATCAACAAGATTTGGCAATTAATTGGTTGTGGCTAGAGAAAAGCAATCAAGGATGGTTCTCAGGTTTCTGACAGAACTACCAGACAGTGGTTCCAGTCACAACGTGAGAGCAAGCTGGAGGACCAGGTGTTGGGAGAAAGAGGACACCTGAGCTTTAAGGGGCCTGTGGCATCCAGATGGAGACACAGAAATAGGCAGTTGGATGTGAAAGCTTGGGGTTCAGCTGGCAGATAAGCAGACTGCTTTTCTCCAGCAGGATCTCTGCTGCCATGTCAAAGATGGAACCCCTCTATAGAGACATTCCCTGCCTGGGTAGGCAGAGAAGACAGAGAATTGGAGAAAGAACCCTAAACGCCATGAAGAGCTTCAAGAACCACGAGGTAAGGCAGGTAGGGGAGGTAGGTCAGGTAGGGGACGCAAGCTGACCAAGGGCCAAAGCCATAAAAGTGACATTTCTTAAACAAGTTGAGAAGGAAAATTAAATCTGTGCCCACTAAATTAAAACCCACCTCGGCAGAATCTGTGACTACAACATCCAAGGCCACAGAGTATCAACTCATCTGGCTTTGACAAAAGATGGACACAAAATGATTCTGTCGGGACCGGAGCAGATTTCTTTTCTCCAGTGGGATTTCTGCTGCCACTTCAGTTCCCATTTCTCAGTGCCTCACTAATCAGGCCCTTTCCAACAAAAGTGATGGGAAGCTGGTTGGGGGTGGGTGTTGGGAGAGAGGGGAAGGGCAGCAACGAGAAGGAGCCGTGGCTCTGGGAAACTAGAGTGGGAAATGAAAATATTTGCTGAATTCCTGAGACTTAGTTAATCTGAAAATGGATGTCAAAATAAGAAGTAAGCCCCATACTAACAAGTTGCGGATGTCAATTTAACACCACCCTTGTCAGGCTCCTCAGCAGCCTTTACCAGGTGCATAAAAAGGTGATGGCTCTGATGAGAGCCATCTGACGAGAGGTTCCAGGAACACCGATAAGCTGTGCACTGTCACGAAGCACTACTTAGGTTTCCTCTCTGGCTGTTTTTATTTTGTTACACATTTAATTAAGAGCCTTCCCAGCAGTTATGCGGAGTCCTGCTTCTAAAAGGCAGCCACAAAGCTCTCCTCCCCCCAGCCCCTGCTACCTGACATCTGCTTCCCTCCTGCATATTCTCTTTCAGAGCTTCACTGGTCTTTTCAATGCAAACACAAACCAGCTTACCGAAGTCTGCCCAACCTATCTCTTTTAGAAGCAACATGGTCTTAGAATTCATGTCTGTCTAGCTAGGAGTCTACCAATTTGGGTCTCAGTTTCAAATTCTGTTTTGTTTTGTTTTTTCCATCTATAAAAGGGAGCTATCACCTTCTACCAGGGAAGATAATTAGGAGGACTGAATGAAATATGGTACATGCTCATTAAAATTTGGTTTCAAGGGGCCTGGGTGGTGCCAACTGGTTAAGCGTCCGACTCTTGGTTTTGCCTCGGGTCATGATCTCAGGGTCCTGGGATGGAGCCCCATCTCAGGCTCCAAGTTCAGTGTGGAGTCTGCTTGAGATTCTCTCTCTCCCTCTCCCTTTGCACCCCCCCCCCCAGCTCATGCTGTCTCTCTCTCTCTCTCTCTAAAATAAATCTTTAAAAAAAAAATTTTTTTTTTTTCTATATGTCTGGATATAGACCCAATCCCTCTTCTTGATTACATCGGTTCTTATGAAGATGCAAAGCAGCCTCCTGAGTCACCAAAATCTGTCCCAGGCTCAGTGGGCCGAACTGGTGCTATAGGCCAGAATGGGCCAGACCCAAAGACAACACCCTCTGAAATTCCCTCTTTGTCTCATGGAGAAACCAACTTAGGAGGCCTGGCCAGAGAGTCCCCACACAGACGCACAGGGAAGTTTTCGTATACACACATATGTACGTGCCATCCCTAGTTAACACAGGAGATTCTGAAATGTGGGTGTCTGGGATATGAACACACCAGAGTGAAATCCACTTGGAAGAGTGGGAGTCCTGGGAGGCTATCTGGAGACACTGGGCCTCTGGACTGGGCCACATGAGCCACAGACACTGGGTATCAGCCTGAACCCCAAACAGCTTCTCTTATGCTACGTACCTCCACCTCAATCCCTTCTCTGCTTCAAGTACTCGGAGCTGCCCAGGATGTCATAAATAAGAGCAACAGCCTTCCTCCTCCTCACCTTCTCTGTGGAACCCTCCCCTGATTCATATCTGCTTCCAGATCCAGCCTCTGTAATTTCTCTGACACATGAGTGTCATCTGGGAACACGGAGATCCTCTGGAGCTCTGGGAGTCCTGTGCGCAACCTAGAGTATGCAGTCAGTGTGTGTAAATGACCTGAGGGATGTGTGGGTGCTTCTGTGATCTGGACTTGTTCCTCCTGTCTCACCTAGGGAGCTGGTATCCAGTAGCAGGCTTGACATCCACCTGAGTGCGTAACTTCACCTCAATACCCAGCATCCAAAAGGCATAAAAAAGGACCTTGGTGAGAAGATAATGCCTAATTTGGTAGGAAATGTCACTCCGGAGCCACTATTCCTCACCCCCGACCAACACCCCACCTATGCACAAAAGCGTACACGCACGCACGTGCGCATGCACACACACACAGAATGCCTGCAGCTGCCTTCGGTCACAAAGAACACAGAGATATCGATTCTATCAATCCTCAGCAAACAGTGCCCCCACAACCTCCACCCCATTTTAGCTCCCTGGGGGCTGTCTGAAGCCAGGTATCCATGAGGATAGACAAGAGGCAAAAGTGTCAACCTAGCAAAGGAACCAGTTCTGTCTTCCATAACCAGGGAAGGACCAGGGGACAAAGGAGAAAAAGCAGTGGGGACAAAGGAGGCTGGGGAATTGGACAGCTCCCTAGAAGCAGCCCTCTCTCATCCCACCGCTGGGCCTGCAATTCAATCATCAGGGCCTTGTACCCCAGATAAAAGGGGAGCACAGCAGAATGGTTAAGAGACAGGACCCTGGAGCCAGGTTGTCTGGGTTTGAATCCTGGCTCTGTGTGTCTTAGGCAAGTTACTTAACCTCTCTGTGCCTTAATTCCCTTATCTATAAAACAGGAATAAAAGTACCAAGGTTTATTAAATGAATTACTATTTCTAAAGCATTAAGGGTAGTAAACACTATATATTTCTTATTAAAAAAAAAAAAAAAGGATCTTCTTTTAACTCCTTCCTTCCAGGGCAATAACATGCAGCCCCACAACTGGAAGGACTGTCCTGAGCAGTGGGACCTGGCAAAGGCAGGAAGGCCCTGACAACAGTCGTCCCGGTAGGGTCCTTGACAGGTCTACTCCCAGCTCCAGAGGCAGAAGGCAGGGTTCCCAGTCCTCTTTTCACCTTGGCAGCCCCAAAGATCCAGGGACTCCCTGACTCAGCTGCCCTGTAGGCTTGGACGTGTAAGCCTGCAAAAGGCGACACCTGGTCCCATAGCTTCCAAGCCCTGCCAGCAAAGCAGTGCTTCTCATACTCACATGACTTTCAAGTCCCAGTCTCCACAAGTGACAAAAATTGACTTGACGTTTGGATCTAAGAGGCCTTCTTTCGCCATCCACTCATCGACCCTCTGAAAAGTACACAAGAACAGATGAGATTTTCCTTTCTTTTTTTTTCTTCCCAAGTCTGTGAAGAGCCACACCAGTGAAACACAGATAAGCTGCTTGTAATCAGAGCAGGAGAAAACTGTAATCTTATCCAGCCATGGCTCCGCTCTGGGCTCTCAGCCTTGGCTCAGGGCTATGGGGTCACCGGGAGGATGATCCCTGCAGGAAGATCCACAAACCCGAATGAGTGGGGAAGGGAGCCCCTCCACTGCCCCACTGCCCCACTGCCTGGCAGCCCACCCCAGACGGGATAAGGACACATCCTGGTAAGTCGGTCCTCAAAAGCAAAGCCTAGCACAGACACAGGATGCCCTGGGCCATGAGAACAGGCTGGAAGGAGGCCCCAAGCAGGAACTTCAATCCACAGGTTCATTCATTCCCTTATTCATTTCACCCTCCCACCAAAGGTTTATTAACCAAATTTATGAATTTGGTTATTCCCCAAATGACGGTGAAGTTAATTTTCACTGTGAGTCTAGCAGAAAAAGCTTCCTTGCTGGGACAGAACCCCACCTTGATCCCTGGGGTGGCACTGCCTGCTTCAGTCACTGAAAGCTCATAAACTGGCCCAGATTTTATGTTTCTCCTCTCCTGGTTGAGGACTCAAATTCAAATTCAGTGGACTCTTTTGAAGGCTGAGCTCAATTCCTAGACAGGGACAAAAACTGCTCCTAAACATACTTTAAGTATTTCTTTCCCTTCATCCCTTTGATCAGGCTTATTATTTGCACTCACATTGGAAGTACAAATACTAAAATCAGTATATAATGGGAGAATTATCAGAAAGCATTCCTGAAGCATTGCCTATTTTTCAGAAGATCCCAGGTATGGAGTGAGAGTACAGCAGATGACCACCACGCCACTCACACAGAAGGATTAGCTTTTAAAGGCTACGTCGCAAAGTAGCCAGAAATGCAGGATTGAAAGTCAAACACATCTGGGTTCTAACCTTGGCTCTTCCATATCCTGGCTGTGTCACTGATAGGAAGTCATTTAAAAGTCATTTAACCTCTCTGAGCTTCAGTTTCCTTCGTCTATAAAACGAGGTAGGATGACTAACCTTACAGGGTTGTTTTGAGAATTAAATGTAATAATGTATTAAGTGCCTACCACAAAATAGACAGTAGGCTGAGAAGGCGAGAAAGGCAGATCATCATAATACAATATAATAGATGCAGCCCTGGAGAAGTGACCAGAATGCTATAGGACCAAGAGGAGGAAATGACTAGCTCTACCTTTTACAGAGAAAGGAGTCAGAAAGGAAGGCTTCAGGAAGATGCCAACCGAACTAGGGGACTTGGTGGTTGGGTTTCCCAAAAGGGTGGAGCAGAGTAAAGGATATCCCAGGCAGAGGCAGAGGCACGATCATTTTGTATTTGAGAAGCAATTATATGCTCAATGTCTGCCTCCCCCACCAGACTGTAAGCACCATGAAGGCAGGGACTTTTATTTGTTTTATTCACTATCTAAATCCCTAACTCAGCAGTGTCTTCTCAATAGATACCTGCTGATTGACTGAAACATGAGTAGGGGATAGTGTGACCGATGTCCAGTGTAGAAAGGAGGGACAGGAAATGACGCTGGGGATTAGGCGGGCCAGGCTGTGAAGACTCCAGCAGGTAATGGAGAGCTCACTGAAATCATGAAGTAAGATTACTCCTAGCAGGTGTAGGCTAGCTCCCTGGGACATCTCAGAGATCCTGGAGGCCTGGTCCATACCATAGCAGTCTTTGAGTAGGGCCAAGGATTCTAGGTCATTCCATGGCTAGAGCAGTCCTACCTCTCAGGAGGTCAGAGCTGCTCCTTAAGCCAGACTGTGCAGACCCTCTTCACAGTCTGCACACCGGAGAATCCCCCTCAGCCCAAGAGTCTCCCTAGCAAGCTAAATTCAGGACCTTCCACTGCGGAATGGCTTGTCTCCCCAGCCACTATGGCCCAGTTGCACAGAAGGACATGCACAACTCACATTCATGTATCCTTTCCCAAGACTCTATATAAGAAAAGGAATAAGGCAAACCTAGGGCTCCCTATCTCATCTAACCCTGCCCCAGCTCACTGGCCTTAAATCCCTGCAAGGTAAGCGCCCCATCTTGGAAAAGAGAGCAAGACAGGATTGTCAGGAGCCAATGCCCAGCAGGACCTTCCCATGAGAAGCACTTAATACTCACAGGGGTCCTTGGAAGCTTAGGACCTAGGCCATTCACTCATACAACAGGTATTTAGTGAGAACCTTCTACTTTAAGCCTGTCCAGAGAAGTGATACTACATTTGTCCTGTGGTATCACTGTCTTTCTCTGTCCTTTTCCTTCCCTTCTCCGCTTAAATGGATAAAGAGTTAGAGGAATCACCAAGGGAGGGGGGTGGGAGGATGGGTTAGCCTGGTGATGGTATTAAAGAGGGCACGTTCTGCATGGAGCACTGGGTGTTATGCACAAACAATGAATCATGGAATACTACATCAAAAACTAATGATGTAATGTGTGGTGATTAACATAACAATAAAAAATTAAAAAAAAAAAAAAAGAGAGGAATCACCAAGACAGTCCCCAATCAGCTGGGCTGGCCCTCCCAGCTACTGAAGATCTAGCATGAGTCCTACCTGGACTAAATGAGTCAGGCAAACACCTAGTTGGCCACCTGCTCAGGGCCTTGGTTAGGACAAGAAGTCAGCTTTTTAGCTATATGACCAACTCAGGGCTAATGAGACAAAGTAGAGCCCATTCTGGTCTCCTTGCCAGAGACTCCCTATTCAGGCTGATGCCAGCAATCTTCCCTCTTCACCCACAAAGTATGCTCAAGTATCAGAAAGTAGCTTTGTGGATAAGACTCAGAATCCCCTGAGCATTCTGCTCCAGGCTGGCCTGAGGTTAGCAAGAGGAAGCCTCCTGAAGACCATCGCTCCCTGTCAACCAGCACAACTGAGGGAAAAAAAAAATCCCATAATCTCAATAGCTCTGGTTCAGTGCTGGCCTACAGCAGACATCTTCCTCCTCAGATCCTGGCCAGAGACATTCCTGGGAATAGCTAGCTGCCTGCAGTCTGGCCTCCCTCAGGGGGCAGGCCCTGGCTGGGACAGAGGAAAGAACGGGTCGGTCCCCACTTTCTCTTTGAGTCTGGTCTTACAGGGAGCAGTTGATGCTGAGGGGTCCCCTCAATCATAGGAGTGAATCTCCCCTCAAAAAAAGAGGGTCAGTGGGGCTGGGAGACACCTCAGAACTCACCTTCTCATCTCCCAACCTACTGTAGGTACCCTAACACTGACCCGACCCAGAGCTTGACCAGTCAGAGAACCTAGGCTTGTACACTCCCAGGGACAGGGAGCATACCTGCCACTGGGTGAGCCTAAACCTGACTCCATCCTGAGGAGCCCAGGAATTCGGTCTGCATTTCTCTCTCCCATGGGACAGGGCCTCTTGGCTAAATAAAGAGATCTTCCTCCCTCTCCCTGCTACCACCCAACTTCCTCTAGGCTGACTACCTAGATGTGCCCTGCTATCCCCCCCACCCCCTACTCTGCTTCCTCCTGTGCTTTGATAGGGGCTGAGCTTTAGGTTTACTGGTCTTAAAGATAATAAAGCATCTACTGGGATCCACAGGCTTTTTCTCTTCTCCCCTCCCCCTAGAGAGGAGGGAGGGGGAAAGGGACCTTCTCCCTCCGTGAAAACCCCCAGGCCAGAAGGGGTGGGAGACAAGCTGAGGCCAAGCCCGGCCCTTCCTTATTCCCTCAGGCTGGAGCACAAGAAGCAGAGTCTTAACCTTTTCCAGCTCCCGGAGGAGAACATCCTAGAAGTGTGGTCTCCGCCAAGGGTTCTAAAGCCTTTCATTTGATTTCCCTCACATAGGCAATTGTCGTAATTATTCTGATTCGGAATCATTACCCAGCGCAGCCTCTGCACCCCTGACAGGCACAATGCATCCAGCGGCAGGCTGCAGTGGGGCAGGCGGGCCCAGCGCCCCTCCTGGAGGAGCCGACAGCAAACAAAAGCCATCAATGGGGAGTTCTGGGTGAGTTAATGAAGCGCTCACATGCCACAGGCAGCCAACACTAAAGCTAAACAAAAACACCTTCAGTCCCCAGGGCTAGTCCTGCGGTCCCACGCTGGGCTCCCCTCTTCCCCGACCCATCCAGCACCGGCTGCCCACGCTGTCTGGCCCAGGGCCGGCGGCCAGGAGGGGGCGAGGGCCCTGTGTGGAACTCGGGGCAGCACTGGACATCTTGCCAGTAACCCTGACGGGAACAGCTGGAGATGACAGATCAATGGTTCAATACTCTCAACAGCATGTCACCGATGTGACAGCAAATGTTATTCTAATCAAGCCATAATCATAGTCAAATTACACGGCTACATTCTCAGGAGGGGAGGGAGAGAAAGGCAGCGGGAAAGGGTCAGAGGTCAGGAATTAAAGGTCACTCAACCTACCTCCAGCACTTGCTGCAGGCTCGGCTGACCATCCACCATGGCTTGAATAATCCCGGTGAGCTGAAAGGAAAGAGAAATAGCCAATAGGTGGAACTGCAGGGTGCAGGGTCTCAAAGCCAGACTGGATCCTTTCTCCTTCTAACCATAAAAGACTCTGGCCTGCAATACTTTTGGCTCAGAACCTGTCAGAAGCCTTGGGAATGAAGTCCCAGGACATAAGGTGAACTTTCTCCACAACATCCTGCCCCGAGAGAGGAAACACATCTACATGCTGACCACAGGGTGTGTTTCATACCCATTTCAGCTTTCACTTTGAAAAGGAAAAAAAAAAAAAAAAAAAGATTTTATGTGTCTTGTATTCAATAGGCTCAGTAAATCCCTACAAATTATGATCTAAAGTAAATTCACCTCCCAGCTTCACAGAAGTTCCTGTAGACCTTGAGGAATGCTCACATAGGACAGCAACACTTGGGTTCAAGTCTGGGTCTCAATGTCTAGCATTTCCCCATCTAACACCAGAGAAGAGCCGGGGGAACCCCACAGGCATCCACCCTTTACCGTGAATACCTGGGTCCTCAATACCAACTAGGCAAGCAAGAAATAGACACCTCTTTTTTTTTTTTAAGATTTTATTTATTTGACAGAGAGAGAGAGAGCACCAGTAGGCAGAGTGGCAGGCAGAGGGAGGGGGAGAAGCAGGCTCTCCGTTAAGCAGGGAGCCAGACGTGGGGCTCGATCCCAGGACCCTAGGATCATGACCTGAGCCGAAGGCAGACGCTTAACGACTGAGCCCCAGGCACCCCAAGAAATAGACACCTTTAACTGATTGGGAAACTCAGACGGAAAGGCCTAATAAAGGAAGCTGGTCTAGAGAATTTCTGACTCAGGCCTATGCTCACCCAGGTCAGGCCTAGGTTCAAACAAGCTTGTTGCTTTGCTTTGTTTTGTTTTGAAGTGAAAATATCCCTCGAATACCGACCAGGACAGACTGCCTCGGGGACCTGAGGCAGGAGGCCCCTATCCACAGACCTGGACCCAGCTGGAAATCACCATGCCCAATGTGCCCCTGGCTACCCCTACAGAGAGCAGCAGCTCAGGCTTGCTGGGGAACTTCTTTTTTTTAAGCGTTGGGGGGGGATTAAACTCCAATTAAACTAAAATTACATTTAATGAATATCAAATACCCAGCTCACAGGAACCGCTGGCTCTAAGAGGGAAGTTTAGTTTCTCATAGAGACTTACATGGAATGGTAATACACACCTTTTAGGGAAGAAATTTTCATTTTAAGAACGCTGAGTTCCTCTAGGTGGGTTTCTGTAGTTCATCAAGTCATTATTAGGTGGTATTTTAAGGAAGTGTAAGGACACAGCCACTCTATTTTATATTCCAGAAACTGTTTTTATATTAATCTGTATTTTAATTGGGTAACAGCTGCTGCCTACAGACTTCCCATGGTCTAAAAGGAAAATAAATTAGAAAGATTAACTACACTGTTGTTTCACAAGGCTTTAACCCACAGCATGCCCACCCGGCTGGCACCTCCACACCCTTTCCTTGCTTGGGAGACCAAAGAACTGCCCAGCAGAGGGAGGGCCTGAGCCAAAGAGAAGAAAAGTTGGTCCACTGAGGGAGGGCTAGGGGTGGGGCTGGGGGGTGAGGGGTGAGGAAGAGCTCTGGGTCAGCGGCTTTAATCTTATGAGTGCTAAGACTCCTCTTTTTATTTAGTCAACAACTATTCATGGACGGCCTACAATGTACTGGGCCCCATTCCAGGAACTAGGGATCCAGCTGTGAGGAAAAACATGAAATCCCTGCCCTCCTGGAATCAGCATTCTTCTTGGCAGCCCCCTCTATGCCCAGCCCAGCCAGCACACAAAGCCTGTACACCTTCCAATGCCACACCCTGAGCAGGCAGTTCCCCTGTGTTTTGTCTCAGGCACAGAGGGGCCAGAGTCCAGAGTAGGCTTGTTGCTGACTCCAGGTGCAACACCCAGATGACTGACGAGCACCTATGCACCCACCCCTGCCCTTCCTGGGCCCGCTTCTCTCCTGCTTCATTCTTCCAGGGCCAAGCCACACCCCCAGGCTTGGAGCTGGTGCTCAGGGTCAGGACTATCCTGGAAAACCTACAGCCACTCTCACTTCTTGGAAAAGCTCTGGGGTCTGTGTGCCAGTCTCATGTCCTGTCTGAGTCTTCTGGGGCAAAGTTAGGTCTACCATTTCTCTTGACTCCTACACCAAGGGTCACTGAGATGAGATGAACACTGAAGGGCTTCCAGAAAGCTCACTCACAGAAGAAACCAATGGCACCCTTGTCAAGAGACTTCCCTCCTTGGAGATGGGACTTAGGTCAGCATCTATGCACTCCACAAGCACCTGCTCTGGGCCCAGGAAAATCACTCATGTGTGGAGAGAAAGTCACTGCACTAAAAAGGAAAACCAGGGCACTGCTCTGCGCGATCTCTCACTACAGACTAGGGCCCACCTTTTCCACCCTGGTGGTAGGTGGTAGGGCTCCAGGGTCCTGGGGCTTTCTCACACTCCTGTCCAGTGGTCAGCAATCCTAGAATCATCAGCCTGGAAGGAGCCTAGTGAGCCCAGCTCCCTCTCTCCAGGCTTCCCAGACTTGTGGTTCAGCAAGACACGGCTTACAGCTGAGCTCCTAAAGGGCTTGAACTCAACCCCCAGAGACACGGGGGCTTGAACTATTGGTTCGGCTGGAAGCATCCTTCCAGGGGGAGGCCTCACTCCCCTGTATGAATCCTTCCAAGGATGGACTACATCTTATCAGCTCCACCAAGGCACTAGATGAAGTGTGTGAACTTAAGAAATTAGTCCCTGTACCTGATACTGACAACCTATAAGACATCTCTAAGACTTACACCAGAAGCGATGAAGGAGAGAGCTAATTTAATAAAATAAATACTGGAAAGTTCTACCTTAGGCCTAACTTAAATCCTTCATGCTGCAGTTTACACCCAACCCCACTTGGGTTAATATATTTTTGTAAAAAGCTTTCACATCCTCACAATGAAAGGTACTAGAGGAAAGCCAAGTATTATTAAGCTGAGAACCAGGGCTCACAGGCTAAACAGAGCTCAAAGACCTTAACCACTTAAAGCTGGAGAGGTGAGAGGAAGAATTAATGTGTGCTCTGTGGCTCCTTTCACCAAGGGATTACAGATTAACTCCCGCTTCTCCAGACTCGGAAACCACAAGGCGAGGGGCTTTTGACCCTGACTGATAACATGACTGGTTACTGAGATCCCCTACCCACACAGGGGCTTTGTCCAGGAACGAGCTGGCTTCATCATAAACACTAGCAACTACAGGAAGCAGCCCAGGACACTCAATGCCAATAGCATGTCAGCATCCAGTGCTTTCTCCTTTCACAGTTTATCTCCAACACAATCGTATTCTGACACCAAGACAGTTTGTTGATTACATAAGCACTTGTCTCTGGTGTGCAATCTGATAATCAGACCCACTCTTTCTCCTCAGACAAAGAGACCAATAAATCTCACTCTTTATAAGTATAGGTGCAAGACAAAGCCCTTTACTGGCATTTAGCAAAATTGGTATTTTTTCTAGTTTTTTCAAGACAATGACAACAACAACAACAAAAAACTGCACGGTCAGGGACTGTGCACTAGCCCAGCTGCTAGATGCAGAGATCTGACAGGTTGGAGCAGATTCTAGAGGTGGTAGGGAAAGGGCTTGGGAAGGAATGAAACTTATCCCATCCTATCTCTGTCAGAAACAAGTCTCCTGGCAGACTATCACCTGGAACGAAGAAGGGATCTCAAGAAGGCTACTAACATGTCCATTACACAGAGCAGTTAAGAGTGTCTATATGTGGGCTACAGACCCACTCAAGGCAGCATCCCTCTTCTTGCTGCCCAGCACTGAGCCTGTCTCTCCCTCCAAAAGCATGTACTCATATGTGTATTCATGTGTCATGATGTGCACGCACACACACACACACACACAGAGGCCAGGGTTCTTAAGAACTTCTTATGCACAAGAGAAAATCCTACTAGAGGAGATGCTCAGGCACAGTCCAGAGGTGCTGGGTTGTTCCTCACACCTACTAAGGAAAGATTCTCTCTGACTGTGATGATCTCTGTCTCTACCCCAAAGGCAGCCACTGCCACACTGGACAAGGTCCCACAGTGATGGCCCCCATCCCGTGTCCATGCCTCTGTCTACATTACAACTCCATCTGGTATGGAAACAGGGCAATATTTAGATGATCTGAGGTCTTCCAAAGAAGTCTTCACTTACTCGAAAGAACGAGTTAGCAGGACAGTTACTTCGGGGCAGGGGTGGGGTGGCGGGCAGCAAGGTGTGGTTGACTACTCTTTGACAATATTCATTCATTTAAGGAACACATGTTAAGTGTTTACTTGGCACCAGACCCTAATGATGGGCCAGAGATGGATCAGACCCAGGTTCTGCCCTCAGTGAACTCACTCACGGTCTAGTGGAGAGACACATAAGTAAATACAGTACAATGCATCTGATCAGCGCTTTGGGTGGTGGGACCAGCCATGGGCTTGGGGAAGGCTCCCCAGAGAAGATGACCCTGAGAAAAGTCCTAGAGGACAAGTAGGGGCAGGGAAGGAAAGTGGGAGCCGCATACAGGCAGGAGCATCGTGTGCACAGGCAGACTGTGAGGGAGCGACCTTAGGTGAGGGAAGTGAGGGGGCATGAAGCAGGGAGATGTGAGGTTGGACAAAAAGGCCGGGACCAGGTCAGGGAGAGTTGGAGGCTCTGGAAGCCTGAGGCGAAATGGCACCCTCGGTGCCACAGCTCAGTCACATCTTCACTTTCAGATAAGGCTTCTGGACAAGGGTCCCAACCCCACCGTGCCTCCTGCCCTCCAAATTATATATGTGTGTCCAGGGGTGAAACTTTCTAAAAAAGGAAAAATAGCTCTCATCATAGTCTCACAATCCCTCCTCCCTTACCCCCAAAAAGAAACAGCAGCAGCCCTGATCTCAAAAAGATCTCTTTTCCCAATACTCTCAAGAACCCACTCCTGCCCAGGGCTGAGCTTCAACAGCACTGTTCCATGCCTAAAGAACTAGTAACCTTTCCCAAATTTGGGTCTGCCCAGTTGCACCAGGCAGCCTAGCTGCAGCTGGAGTCCCCAAGGGGGGAATCTGCACACAGAGAGGAAGGCGAGAAGGACAAGAGGATACTGCATTTTCAGGCCAGTGGAGGCTCAGGTAACTAGCTGGCTTGAGGAAAATCTTCCCTTTCCACAAGGAAGGGGATTTTCACCATTAAAATGGTGGTTTTTTCCCCAAAATGGGCAAAAAGAACAGATTAGCGCCCCCTGGTGGTATAGGTAATTTCCAGGGGCAAGGGGGGGGAAAACGTAGATCCCAGAGGGAGCAAGAATCTCAACATCATTAGTGGGAACAACAAAGGGGTTGAGAGACTACACACTTTGGCAGATGGATGCCTGCATCAAAGGCCTACCTGGGTTGGGCAGGAAACACTAGCATCAAGCCCAGTAGCGACCCCTGAAACTTCATATCTGGGCTAAGTCAGCCTCAGAGCCCATGGGGCCCTCCCACCAGTGGCAGGCAGGCCCTTTCCCAGCATTCCCCACACCAAGACAATGGTTTGGGGATCACTCAAGAACTTCCTTCCTCATGTTTCACTCATATGCAGAAAGTAAATCTCTAAACAAAGGCAGAATATCTCGAATGTACCCCAGCCCCAAATTCTTAAGAAGATTCCAGAAACACTCACGTTCTCCCATTACTTCTGCTACCACACATACTTGGCCCGTGATTCCACCACAGCCCCTGGCCACCACAGAGTGCATAACACGACACGTCACAGGGGAAAGCAGTCACAGAAGGTCTCAAGAGTAAGAACTCTTCAGGGGCACCTCCTCTCTGCTACTAGTTCTTTTGAGCCTCTAGCAAGCATCAAGATCTCAGTTAGCCCAATTTCACAATCTGCAAAATGGGGCCAATACTAACCTGCTGGCAAGGTGGCCGAGTACAACACTGGCACGGGATAAGGATAAAGACATTTCAGCCTCATATCCCACTTGGACTGCTCTTCTCGTTCCTCAAGGATAGGGTCGTGCTTCCCACAAACTCAACCACTGCTTCACGCAGGGCCACTTTGCTCAAGGACAGAAAAACATCACCAGAGGCTAAGAAAGCCTGAACATAACCTCTCCTTCCAAGAAGCTGAAATCTTTACGTCTTGTCAAGAGGCCCCAGGGGAAATGGAACTGAAAAGTAGCTGAAGCCCGGCAGTACCATCCTGGAGTGGTGCAGCACTCCAAGTGCCTGGTCACCAGGAGGGGTAGGGACGATAAGGGAGAGAAAAGGTTGGGGAAGTTGGGACAGATGGTGCCACTTCTCCTTGGGTCCCCAGTGACCACGGTGGTACAAGCGGAGTGGCAGACTTTGTAAAAAGCCAGCTGCTGGCTGGGTCCAATGCGCACCTGCCTTACCCACTAATAAGGCTCCAGCTGCCCCTACAGCAGCATGTACAGTGCACCAGTGACCCAAAAGCTCCTGTCCCAGCAGCCCGTGCTGCCCTGCTCCAGGGCCCTTACCTCTGTACAGAAGGGAGTAAGCTGTGGATGGACTACAGGCTGGACATACATGTGAAAGGTAGACTCAATCTCCATGGTCCGACCATTTAGCTTCAGGATGGGGAACTCGATGATTTCCTGGAATGGCAAAGACACAGAAAAAGAATACATTTTTTTAACCAAACATTATAAGGAAGAGTCAAGAATGAGGGACTGTTTTGGACTCATTAGCTCCTGCCAGGCCAGACCCAAGACTGAGTGAGATGGTGCCAGCTCACTTCCAATCCCAACCTTCCCACTGTTACTACCCTTACAGGTGGCAGGGACTAGACACACACCCCACCCCCACTGTCTCTGGAAAGGGGAAAGAAGACAGTAGTACAAGCTGTCCCAGTTTCCCCAACTGCTTCTCTGCCAGAGGCCTGTTCACTGGAGCCCATAAAAGTAGCCCCACCCTGTCCCCTTGCCCAGGCCTCTGCCCTGGATGGGCCTGGATCTCTAGTCACCTAGACAACCAGCCATAAGACCAATCACAGCCTTCTGCATTTGAAGTTTAAGCAGAACCGATGAGTTTCTTCATTCTTTTTTTTTTTAAAAAAAAGATAAATAATAAATAAAGCCAAAGGGGATATAAAGAGAAAAAGAAAACTGAGTAAGAGTAATAGGAGCTGGTGCCTCCCACCTTTCTTTCAGGCAGTACACCCTCCCCCAGCCTGCCCCCCCCAATCACTTAGCCAGCCCTTCCCAGTCCACTGGAACGTAATGGAAGAGAAGGAGGAGGAGTGACAATTTGTTTGGTGTCTCTAAGATTAATTTGTCTCCGTTATTTAATAGAGATGCACAGCACCAAGGTCCTGGTGTGCAAACAGGCTTGCAGAACGCTGGCTGTGCAGCGCGCCTCCTACATCGCTCCTGGGAAGGGAGGAATGCACCAGAGGGGGGAGAGGGCAGGAGAGCACACGCGCATCAGAGAGAAAAGGGAGAGCGAGGAGAGAAAATAAAAAAAATTATTACTTTTTAATATTCAAAAACAGTTTGCAAAATTTAATCAAAGCAGAGAAAAAGCTAACATTTTTACCACTTTGACATTTTTATTAGCGCTTTCATAAATTTTTAAAACATGAATGGAATTAGTTTACAACACAAAAAAAAACTGCCCTGAAAACATCTGGAAGAGACAAATAGGAAATAATAAAAAAAATAAATAAAAGCAAAATCCTCCGAGTAAAATTAGCATGTGGAAAAGGCCTCCACTGCAGAGAGCGAAGGGGGGCTTGGCCCACTCCGTGGCCCCAGTAGTCAGCTCCAGCAGCATCCCTACCCCAGGTCCCCGGTTCTGGAGGGGACCCTTCTAGTATCACTAAAATCAAGGCAAACTGGTTCTCTCCAGGGACAGCCTGGGGGAATAGCACGGAAGCTGTTGACACCTGACCGCGTGCAGGACATGGACGAGTGGGAAGACAGAAGAAATGGCCAATCTCCTCAATGTCCCAGGGCAGCCACGTAGCCTCTCCCTCAAACACACCTATGACTATTGGGCTTGTTCTTAAAGCATCTATTTTTATCCAACACATTACAGCAAGACTGAAGACTAAATCAAGGCAGTCAGATTTCATGACTGAAAAATCCAAAGGTTCTGCTTGCCTGGTCTCCCCAGCTGATCCCCCAAAATGGGGAGGCTGACAGGAGCCCCCTGAGATAGGAAGGGCAACAAGGCTGAGGCAGAGGGGCCGTGCGTGGCAAGGAGGTCCTAGCTTTGCTTAAATTAGGTGACACCTTTCCTCCCAACTTGAAGAGACAGGGGGAGCTATCCCCCAAATCCCTGGGCCTCTCTCACTCCTCACAAAGCACTCCTTAGCAGACCTGGTAGAGGACAGTTCTGTGCTGAAAAATAAAATGGAGGCACACATACACATAAAATATATATCGGTCCCCCTGAAAAAACAGATGTCCAAGATTTCCAAACACTAACTCTGAAGTGGGGCTCATCGGACGCCTGAATTTCTGATGTATCCTGCTTCTCCCACTATGGAGAAGCAGCACTTCCCCAGTAGGAGCTCCACAGCCTGGTTAGTTTGGCTGCCCTGGTGTCTAAAGAAACAAATACAGCCAGTTCCTCACTAACAATGTTAGCTGGGCCCACAATGAAATTTAACCTGTGACACAACTGTACTTTTCATTTAAACTTTCATTTGGAGAGAAGCAGTGTTTGGAGACCTGCAGTTTGTCCTGCTAATAAAGACAAGTGTTGGGACCTTTAAGGATGCCATTCATCTCTGGCTTTTATTAAATTCAATTTTCTTAAGCCCATGATACATTATGAAATTAGGAGTTGACATTCCTCTGGAAACAAAAATATCTATCAAACATAAATAGAAAAAAAACCCTCTATTACCAAGAATTTATGGCTTAAAGTTGATCTCTTTCCACTTTTTTACAAGCACATGGTTTGTTTTAGATATCTGAAATGTTATTATAGATCTAGAATTTCATTAGTATTTATTATAAAATAGTAAGCGCTTCAGCTCCTGTTCTGACCAGCACCAAGTCGGCATCCCCAGTAGATTCTCTGAAAACTTGGCCTTTGGGTTTCCCCACTGCAGCTTGCTCTTCAAGCTCTCCTGCTGCTGGCTTACTCACCCCTAGAGAAATGGAGCTAACCTCTGCTCACACTCAGTAGCACCCTCTCAGAGAGGAAGAATAAGCTAGCCCCAGCTCTAAGCAAAAAGACGGGGGGAGATCCCCAAGAGGCCTGGGGGCCAGGGACACAGTGGATTGGACCTATCATAAACATACCTCTCCAGAGTCACTGGCCCATCAGCCAGGCCTTCTCCCCAAGACCAAGAAGAGGGACTTTCAAGAGCCAATCTTAGAACATGACTCTGCATGGGCCCCTTCTCAGCACCCTCAGCAGCTGTTGTAACAATGACCTTGCACACTGGCATACTCATTTAAGCCAATGAGAATGCAAAAGAGGAGCTTCTGATAGAAGACCCTCTGGGGAGTCAGAGCACAAAGGATTTCACTTAGGTACTTCTTACCTTCCCGTATTACCCAATCAAGCCCAGAACCTCAAAATCCTGGCCCCAACAGCCCATTCATGGGAGAGGAACCCTAATCTCTACCAAGGGGGCATGACTCTGCAGCCAGTGCACCCGGAGCAGGCCAAACACTTCAACAGTTTTCAGCTCATAAGGATCGCAATGGAAACACCAAAGTTACAGGTTGATCACATTAATTCCAACCCAAGAGCTTAGGAAGATGTGCCTACGTGCTAGCTTCTGGAGGCAGTCACTCCGATAATGAAACTGTTATTCCTGCCTCTCCTCCTTTTCCCTCCCTCAATCTCCTCATTCCCCTGGGAAGAAGTTTTTAAGAGTAGCTGAGTGTCGGGCGCCTGGGTGGCTCAGTTGGTTAAGCGACTGCCTTCGGCTCAGGTCATGATCCTGGAGTCCCTGGATCAAGTCCCGCATCGGGCTCCCTGCTCGGCGGGGAGTCTGCTTCTCCCTCTGATCCTCCCCCATCTCATGCTCTCTCTCTCTCTGTCTCATTCTCTCTCTCAAATAAATAAATAAAATCTTTAAAAAAAAAAAAAAGTAGCTGAGTGTCTGCTTGTGCAGAGGTAGCACTAGGAATGAAAGAAGAACCAGTGTGTGTGTGTGTGTGTTTACCAGCCCTCTCTTCCTGCCCTAAGAACAGTTTCCCAATTCCTTACATCTGTATGTCATTCGCATTCAAAGATTTTTTTTTTTAATTTATTTATTCATGAGAGACAGAGAGAGAGAGGCAGAGGGAGAAGCAGGCTCCCAAGGAGCAGGGAGCCCGATGCGGGACTCGATCCCAGGACCCCGGGATCATGACCTGAGCCGAAGGCAGACGCCCAACCATCTGAGCCACCCAGGCGCCCTGTCATTCGCATTCAATTAAACTACCTGAGCAGCATCTACTGGGTGCAGGGCACTGTACCAGTGTTAGAGTGGGATTTAGAAAGATGTAGCCTCCGCTTTGGGGAAGTGCACAGACTAGTGAGCAGAGACGATACTGAGCAAATAATGAACAATGCACTATGATAAGTATCCTAGTGGAGGGACATACTGAGTGTTAGGACTTTCAACTTACAGTGTGCTTGCAAATACAGTTTCTTATCTTACCCTTATTAATCCTGGAAGATAGGTCGTATCAGCAGCAGTAGCAGCAGCTCATAAACCAACACTATTAAGCACCTACTATTTACCAGGCAGGGGCTGGGTGTGGAGGCAGAGACAAATACAGTGAGATGCGGCTCCTCTGTCTGAGTCTGGGCAAGGGGTAAAGAGGAGCTGGCCCTGACACCCTTGGGGACCCATGGAAAATGGAATCATTTCATTCCTTCCATTTGTTGTTTACTACATGGCAGACAGTCTGCTAGATGCTTAACAGGAACAACCTCATTGAAGCCTCCTAACAGCTCAGGAGGTGGGAATCGCTATGATCCTTATTTTACAGAGAAAATAAGGCCCTAAAAGAAGCGGCCACTTGCTTAAGGTTACACTCCTTGTGAGGGGCAAAGCTGGGACTCCAAATGGGGAAATGAGACTTAAAGAGAACAGCTTTCAAAATCTGATGGGTCAAGAGCTGATTCTTCCAGACTGAAAGGCTGTCTTTAGGAAGCTCGGTCTGCTGTCTCCTAGGAAGAGAGGCTGCTCTCGAGTTACAAGAGCACTGAGCATGGCCTACCCGGGCAGAAAGTCCTGGAGGACCATTGCCTCACAGGCCCCACTGCACTGCAGTGACGCGGACGGCGCTTTGCCCTGAGCTCGGGGACGGTGGGAGCCTTATGTCTGCAGCCCCAGCGCCCAGCTCTGTCCTCGCATGTAGACCTCGCTCTCTGCGCTTCTGGTGAGTAACATGAGGGGCCAATAAAGGGCAAGGCAGAAGCCAAGCACATGGCTCTAACAGAAACATCTCTGTTTTTACAGAGCTCTCCACAGGTCACGGAGGTGAAGGTGACAAACAGGATAAAGGTGGTGGTGGAGCCAGGATTCAAACCCAGACACAGAACACCCCAAAGCACTTTCTGTCTCTCATCTTTAAGTGGCTTCTCGTCCTCCACCAACTGCTACAAACCACCAACATCCCAGTTTTCTGTCTGTCCAGAC